GGAATTTGACTGGGCTTGCTGAAAAGTGGAACAGGGCCTGACATTCTTGCCAAAAATGAATTAAAATTGGTATAAGATGAGGTGAATTAAATATAAATTAATATAAATCAATTTCATAAATTTCTTATTTTAACGAAATAAAATAATCGACTTAGTTATGAAATAATTAAAAACCTTTTGAGACAAATTTTTGAATAATCGCGATATTATAACTATATACATAATTATGTAAACCATATATATTATGAAAAGCGAAGAGATCCATTAAAAGTAATTAGAAAATTATCTTAAACTTTATGAAATCTAATTATTTTAAGTCGTTTTGAATTAAGAAACTTGTAAATGAATATATCGGGGAGGGTTAAAATTGGGTGTCAACACCCGATATGAAGTTATGCATCCTTTTCTTCCACCACCATTAGTGTTGTCCATGGAACATATATAGGTGATCTAGTTATTAAGTATTGGACCTTTGAAAAGATCCTCTCTAGGTGTTAACCTCAAATTTGATACCAATTAAAATGTTGTATGAGTCCACAATAATAACAGGGACCAGGTACTTTACTTGTTTCTACAACCATGAAAAAAAATGTATTAAAGATTGGTACAAGTTACCGCAATAGGGGAAACATGGCCCCTCACTAGATTCGATATATGACTAAGAATATAAAGTGAAGAACAAACATAGAGACCTAAAAAATAACGAAGATGATATACTTTGTCTGAAAATCTCTATGCTCAAGGGAGTAAAATCAAGGCCTTGTTGGAAAATATATGCACAACGGAAGCATATATATCATGATCTTTCCTGCTTACTTGATACCTTCAAGTGAATCCCCAAGTTAGACAGACCTTCAAGTGAATCCACAAGATAGTTATAGTCTTCTACAGTGATCTGAAGTTCACATCTGCACTCTCTCAATACTTGGATGGGCAAGTATGGAAAGAAAACTCATCAATATTTTTCTAGGTTAGGAGAATCCCTACTTATAGAAATTTCTTCAAAATCAGGAGAAGAAAAATATAGCATCCCTTACAAAGGTGATACTATAACTATTTTACTACTGCAGCTATTATCGTAATACAATGTTCTGAATTCACTTCATTGTGCAGTTTGATGAGTTACATGGGCATGAAATTCTTTTTTTATTTCTAGACACCCACCTATTTTCTTCCTGTGTGAACCGCATTCGTGATGGTGATAAGCCTATAAAGAAGGTTTAGCCTACCTTCATTTTCATCTTAATTCTATGACAGTGAAATTCCGATATAACCATTTGTGTTATGTGCGTGCAGGTTGCAACACTCGTACTTATGTAGATCTTGATGCAAGAGGAAGGGATAAGATATTGTTGTTGTCACCACAATGATTTTCTGTCAGTGATACGAATCTTGTGTCGACTGGTACAATCATTTGCTTATCAAATCCCTTGTTCACAGCACTTAAAGTATGTTGTTCAATGCTTCCTAAGTCTTTCACGGGTAGCTTGGGAACACAGGTAAAAAAATTGTGATTTATTCCAGAAAGGTTGCATGAGTTAGTGTGGAATCTTAATCATTGACCACCTCAATAATTGATCGGAAGAGATAACAGAAGTGTTGAGAAGGAATTCAACAAACTTGCTTTACAGAATCCAATCCCTATAATAGTAGAAAGAGCTTAAATTAGGAGTCATATATAGGTTTTGAGTATTTGAACCTATAACGACTAGACTTACTGCTTGCTGAATGAACACTCTCATTTTACTATTTTCATTGTAACAAGTTACTTTCTAACATCACTCTCATTTAATTTTACTGATAAATGCTTTTTTTTCACCAAGGACAAATATGTAAGATATTTATCTAATATAAAAATGTAAAAAGGGAAGGATATTGTATTCATTCATTGTCTTCTCCTTTGTTTTTTAGAGCACTCAAAACATCCAGTATTTGGAGACTTACTTCCACTGGTTTGGAGTTTACTGGGCGAGACTTTTAAGTCTTTCACTAGTATCTTGCGTAGCTTTTCATTTTCGTACACCAGCTCATGAATGGCTTGGTGGTGTTTCAACACCTAGTATCACTCATAACTATTTAGCGATTAAAGTATTCCACCTTCAAAGTAAATTACATGAATTTTATATTCTCATTCTCTATTAACTATCTATCACGCCATTGTTATTACTATTGTTGCCACTGCCGGTTTTATGTATAAAAGCTCAGTCTTCATTCTTAATCAACAAATAATCGCATGTTTGGAGGTTCAATTATTATTTTATACTACGAATACCAATTTAAGGGAGTGAGTTATGTTTGGATACAAAGTTTTGTTAGAACATCAGCCACTTCAATTGTCTTTATGTTGAATCTCCATATTTTTATTGTGATCACAATAAATCTCACATGCTCTTTTCCAATTGATGAATCCACTCCCTTACTTGTTGTTGTTAAGAATTTATCACCAACTTAGTTATTACTTAAGATTATAAGTCAAGAAAAATCTAGAATATTCCGGAATTATAGAGAATTGAAGGAAGATCTCTATAATAAGTATTCTAGATAGAATAGTCTAGAAATGTTCTAGAAAAAAATTCTTAGGAATATTCTAGAAGAGAGTAATATGCATCTATATAGATTCTTCCATGACCACCTATAAATAGAGGTGGTCCACTTGAGTAGTAACCAACTAAGAAAGCAAGAAAGAAAGCAACCAAATATGTAAGCAAGAGAGCAAACAACAAGTGTGTAAGAAATAAGAGAGAGTTGCATGTAAAAATTGTAAGACCGGAGCAGATCTTTACTTTGATGTAATAAAACTCAAGTTATGAGAAATCAATAGTGTACCCATGGTCTCCACACCCAAAAATATTCAACAGTTGCTACAACGTAACTATAAACAGAAGAATGTATTAAACACGTCTCCTTCATCAAGAGAGTAAAATCACCATCTATTTCACTAGGATTTGTTAAATTTCCTCTAAAAAAAATACCCAATTCTCAAATACATATAAACACATTTTACGTTAAAATAATTTAAACACTTTTAGAGTTGTTAACACTAAAAATAAGTTTGTTGGTCGATATCTTTTTATAAATAGAATCAAACTAACTCAATCAAAATACTATCTAATTCACTTTAGCATATACAATGATTAGATAAATTGATCATGTAAAAATTAATAAATTGGTCATGACTAAAATAATTTTGATTTTTTTTATATAATTACTTATCTCAAGGTATAAGCAAAACCATAGATATATTTTATTTAGAATACATCAAACATTGACAAAAGAAATTGAAAATTGTACTTTTTCAGAATGATCATCAACCTATTCAAGTTATATTTATAATGATTTTAAGCTTGTTTCGAAATTATAGATATTATTTTGTCATCATAATTATATTTTAAAATTAAAATTAAAAAGGGACATAACAGGCAAAACACGACAAATTTAAATAAGTATTTTTTAAAAATATAACTAAGAGAAACTGATAATCGCTGTTTTAAAATGACTATATATACATGAATTAAAAGAGATTGGATTCAAAATGACTGGAAAGTTTTTAGGTAATTTGATAATTATAATTGTTGAATAATAAAATTATTATTGATATTCAATCCTGAGAACTTTTTGTGTTATGACAAAATAGATATTTATTACTCCCTCCATTCCATAATAATTTAATTTTTTTAGGTATTTTTCATTTTTCAAATTAAATTAATTGTTCAATTTTCAAGACTATTTTTAAAATATTATTCCAATTTTACCCTTCATTTAGAATTTCAATGTGATGACTTCAATAAATTTGACAATAATTAATAAGAATAAAAATGGAAAACTTATGTTCAAATTATATCTTAATTTACTTTTCTTAAAAGATGTGAAACACCTTAAAAGTTCAACAAATATGGAAATGAGGGAGTAATAATTTTCCCATAAACAAAACTTTTTGAATGATAACATTGTGATGTTGTTGTTGTGTTGATATAAGAAGAGAAATCTTCAATTTATAGAGTTTCAAAATTTTCTTTTAAGAAAGATAATTAAATATGAAAAAGAATTATATTTTCCTTAATGAAAAAGTTCAAGTATTTATGATAGTACTTTGAATTTCTTATAAGAAAAAATAAAACTTAAAATATGACAAGAAAATAAGGGCATAACCTTAACAATATACCATTCAACTTTGGCATTTAGAGGTGACATGTCACTCGTTACAAAAGTGGTTCACTTATGCCCCACTGTTACAAAATCGACTCATATACCCCTTATCTTTACAATGACTCACGTATACCCCTAAATGACAGAATTGGTTTTAAATATTTAAAAAATCATGCATTTGATCTTTTTCACACAAAACTCATTTTTTTTACTTCTTTTATTATTATTATTATTATTTGTGTTTATTATTTTTAATTCATTTTTCTTTCATTCTTTAGTGTAAAATAATTTATGTTGAAATATGCATTGCATGTGATTTTTTGTTGAGTTAGTTAGCTTATTGATGTATTAGTTTAAAAAGTAGTTAGTTAGTTAGTTTATTAATGATGTATAAATAGCACCTTATGATTAATGAGAAGTTAAGTCGGTTATATCAGTTTCATTGTTCTATCCATTATCTTCTTCCTCTCAAATGCATCTGCTCTATCTTAGCTACGACAATAACTTTCAACAAAATAAAAAGGAAAACTGGGACTAAAACAAATAAAATTAGAACTATTTATTTTTTTGTAGCTATATAGTAATTTAATTTTTATATGTGTAAACTATTTTTAGGACATTCATAATAAATTTTATATGAAAATAAGTGGAAAAAAATAAATTTACTAATTAGCAGTTGAATTTTAAAAAAATAAAAATAAACTGTGAGAAGCATACAATCCAAGATTTTGCATGAAATGGAAACTTTCCCCGTGTGTGTATATATATAAGTATCTGCTCTCTGTTTCTTTCATTAATTCATAACACACACAGTGCAGAAAAGCAGAAACAAGAAGATAAAGATTTTTCTGGAAATGAATAATAATCTGTGGCCGTTAACATCTTTAGAGTGTCGTTACAGGGCAGAGGAATTGATAAAGAATCTTCATGAGAGTAATAATGGCGAAGAGGTTCTTATTCAACTCAATAATTTCATCATGCAACAGGCAATTAGTGAAGTAATGTGCATGGATCTTGGATTTCAGTTGTGGAACTCCCCTGTTACAGTCACCATACTTTTACAGGCATATGTTAAATGTTAATTATGATTGAATTGCTTCGATTTATTGTAAGTTAAACTTGGTTTGATCCAACTTCTAACTCTTGTGTTAATTGACTTTAGGAAGTAGTAGCAGTGTACCCCAACTTCTTAAACTCAACATTAACCATGAAGGAATCTGCTCGAATTTCTAATGCTCTTATTGTATTTCTGGTGAATATAATAAACTCTACTTCTCCCTAGTGTGTATCGTTAGATGACTTAACAAGATTACTCTTTTTATAAGTGCAGTGTATGGCGTATCACCCAAAGGCAAGAATGGGGCTCCTCAAAGGTAATGTTATTCTTTTATCGTTTGTATTATAGTCCAATAATGATATGGAACAAGTAATCTAATACTGGTTTTTTGTTAAATGCAGCAAACATACCATATTATCTTTACCCCTTTTTCCAAATTTCAACAAATGTGATGAAGCCTCTGCAATTTAGCATCTTGTCTCTTATTGCTGCCCTAGCAGAGGTGTTACTTTTACGTTTAATACAGAACAACCACGAGTCCTTCAACTAAAATGTGATGTATGCTAATTATACGATGTTCTGAATTCACTTTCTTGTGCAGTTCGATGAGAAATATGGGCAAGACACTCTTCTTTTATTTCTAGATACACAAGTATTTCCTTTATGCCTGCATTGAATCCGTCATGGTGATCAACCGATACGTAAGGTTAGGCCTGCCTACAATGTGATATTCCTATATGACATGAGATTTTGAATTCTAGAGTAACTTAAGAGAATGAAAGACTACAACATTAAAGACAAAACAGAGGAGGGGTTTTGCCCTTCTTTGTTGCTTTAAAAGAAAGTTTGAAGAAATGACCTGGTGATATCGTTTACTATTGATATCATAGTGAACTTCGCTTGCATGACGCTGGTCCTCTCTCTTTTCTTCTTATTTGTTGTATAAGAGAGTGTATTTGAGTCGAAAATGGTCAAATAGTCCGAGAGTTTTTACATCCAGCAACTTGAGTCGATGTGTATTTTCTCATTTCTTTTGAACCTTATTCATTTGAAAATGAGCCCATGATAAGCATACTTTTCTATTGTCTTTTTTTTCTGAATTACTATGTGTGTGCAGGTTGCAACACTCATCCTTATGAAAATCTTGATGCAAGAAAAGGGCTAAAATATTGTTGTGCTCTTCCCTCTCGTTGTCTGTCCGTGATACAAGTCCTGCATCAACTGGTAGACACATTTGCTTCTGAAATCTCTTGCTCACAGCAGCTAAAATATGTTGTTCAATGCTACCTAAGTCTTCCACGAGTAGCATGGGCAGGCGAGTAATATTTTTTTGCCCCTGCTGTTCTTATGGTTTTGTAAGTAAATTCGTGTCTAATTATTATTTGATATGATATCCCAACATGATACAGGGTATATGAAAGAGTGAGAGAAATGGTTCCTCTACAACTAATTGAAAACACTTTTCAGAATATTATTGAACATGTAATTCCATCGTCTTCTTTCTTCTAACAGATACAACATCCCTCTATCTAATGTTTAAAACAAAAAATTAATCTTCACATTTACTTTATGATATTACTAATTTGCATAAAGATGCAGAGATTCCAAAAATGTTGAATCAGTTAGTGCAGAATCTGAATCATCGACCACCTCAATAATTGCTCGAAAGATGATTAACTATAGCGGATAGTGTTGTAAAGGAATTCAACAAACAGAATCGAATCCCTATATACAGATTTAGGTTTTGAGTATTTAAACCTATAAATCCTTAGAACATTCTCAATTTCGCAGCTTTGCTATGTAAAGACTTTGAATATGAAACTCTTGACTAATCTTACTGCCTGAAAACTAGCAGTTTAGTGGTTTTTGTTGTATGAGATAACATACCATCGAGTCTTTCATTATCATATGGACTGTGTTTTTATCTATATCAGATGTGTGCAAGGAATTGGAGATAATGACCTGTCTCTTATTCAATAGGTAAACATGTATAAATACAATAATATGATAAGCTAACTAAGGAAAGAAATAAAGAGGAAATCCTAAGATATCTGTCTATATCTTTGTACAATATAAAGAAAATGATCTATATACATTCTGTAACACTCCCCCTCAAGCTAGAGAATATATATTGATCATGCCCAACTAGTTACAGAGGTAATTTACGCTAGCTCCATGCAATGCCTTCGTGAACAAGTCAGCTACTTGTTCTCCTGTCTTTACGTAGCCCGTAGATATCAAGTTTTTTCTGAATCTTCTCATGAATAAAATGACAATCAACCTCAATATGTTTCGTTCTTTCATGATATACCAGATTTGAAGCAATATGAAGCGCAACTTGATTATCACACCGAAGTTTTGATGAAGTAGAATGCTCCAATCCAATTTCTGTTAAAAGATAATGTATCCACATTATTTCACACGTAGAATGTGTCATTGCTCTATATCGAATTCTGCACAGTACCGAGATACATCGTTTTGTATCTTACTTTTCGAAGACACCAAGTTTCCACCAACAAAAATACAATAACCAATAGTAGATCTTTGATCAATCTTGTATCCAGCCCAATCTACATCTGCAAAACATCCCCACCTACTTCTCTCATCTTTATTCTTGTTCAGGAGGACCGACACTCTATTAAACTATACATAAAATCCCCCTTGTTTATTTATACTTGAAGAAAGTTTCAATCTTAATTATTATATCTGAGTCATTAAGTTTGTTCAATTTCAAAGTCTGAATATCATTAAGATGTCAATATAAAATCTTCTACAAAGATGACAGTTCACCCTAATCATTTTACTTTCACCAACCACTCTTAATCATAATTTCAGTGTCAACCATCACCACCTACTTTCACCAACCACTCATAATCATAATTTCAGTGTCAATCATCACCACCTACTTTCACCCACCACTCATAACTATAATTTCTATGATTTCAGTCACAACCATCACCACTGATCACATTTCACAGCTACTCAATTTACTTTCACTGACCACTTATATTTGAGTCACAACCATCACCACCGATCACATTTCACCGCTACTCAATTTCTTAAGCGACCGCTTATAATTTGAGTCACAATCATCACTGCCTACTTTCACCCACCACTGATAACTATAATTTCAGTCACAACCATCACCTCCGATCACAAACCACAACTACTCAATTTACTTTCACCGACCACTTATAATTTCATTCACAACCATCACCACCATTAATCTGCAACCACCATCCTCAGCACAACTACACCTATCGCTATTTCTAATCACCAAAATCAATCGTCATGATCATTTGCAATCATCTCTACTGTCAATTATTACATCCACTAATCACTATCAATAATTATCACCATTAATCAACAATATACAACACTAATCATCATCATTGAACCCCATCAGCTATCACTTTTATTATACTACTAATTATCTACCATCACTATTATTAGTCATTATTATGAATCATTTATCATAAGATACTACTCATAACCATCAGCATTAATCAAATACTATCCCAAATTGCCACTATTATATTCTAGGTGTTTTGATGATCCTCACAAATGCAGAGTCTAACAAGGGACCAGATCCAGGAAAGGGTCCTCGATGTTGAGACTGATGAAAGGGGTAATGAATTAATAAACTCACCATAAGGATTATTTATTTATCTTCATTAAAAAGGGGAAAAAAGTTATATTATGGTGGTGTTTTGATGATCCTCACAAGTGTAGGGACCTGGTCCTTGACAAAGTTCTCTCCATTAGATGCATAATAGGGTACAACTGTAAAGTTGTCTCATTAGTTAGTGGTTGGTGAGGCCTCAACATACCGAACAATCAAAATTGACTAGGATGTTTGTCCAACGGGTAGTAACTCTTTATGGTTGATATTTTCAACATGACTAACACCATGTTAAAGTCATTCATTCAAAGGAGGAGTCAGTTAGCAAACCTTTTAGGAACTCTCAAAGAACGCAGCAAGGGACCTGGTCCAGGAATGTATGCGAATGAAAAATGGACGAAAAGACAAGTGTCAATAGGCTGCCAACTGATGTGGTTGGTTCACAACCTTTCATGATACAAACTTTCAGCCAATGGTCTCGTTCCAAGGGTTTGTGTCCATTTTAATATAGTCTCTTCTCCATTAACAAAAACACAAGATTTTGGCAAACAAAAACACACAAACTTAAAAAGGAAAACTCATCTTTAAGGTAAAACAATACTCATACTCAATAAAAGGATCTGATAGAGTGGTGAAACATCTTTACTAAGTTTGATTTTTGTGTCTATCATTTTATAAGTTTTTGAAACTTGAAAATTCTCAAGAACTCTTGCAAAGGCTAACAAAAGGTGAAGAATCATCTTAAGAGCAACAAGGACCTAATAGAGCTGAAGTTGTCTAGTTATTTTAGGAATATATTGTCAAGATCCAAATCGTCGTGATCGGCACCCACACTAACACTTCGGTGAGAGAACCACTACTACCATCCAACTAAAGCAAATAATCTAAAACTAAGGTATTTAAGTTACAAAAGTAATTTAAATAAACTAAAATAATGTGTAAAATACGCCTAGAACCTAAAAGTCAATGTACCAAAACTCTAACAGTGACAAGTCTAAGAACAAAGGGTACAACCCCAAAAACTTTCTTCGAACAACACCTTAACAATAGTCTGAGTCTGAAAAGAGTGGACTTAAACAAAAGAGAACGCAAGACAGCCCAGAAGAACAAGTTCACCCTTGAATTCAAAACGATTACCGATCTCCTAAGCGAGGTTTGTCAACAGTCGCGTGAAGATGCTCTGTACTCAACAAAAATAAGAGCAAGTGCAGAATTAGTACAAAACTACTGTGTACTGGTAGGATCACGTAGCTATCCCACTAGTATAATATAAACAAGTCAATACATCATTATAAGACATGCATAAATATATCAAGATATTCAATACTATCATAAGAATCAATATCACAATTCACATGTTTCATCACATAGTTGGCCCTCTCACGGAACCTAAAGTCAAACTGTTAGCATGCTGTAACGTGGAAATTCGATCCAATTTTTATGTCAAGACGTGGTAATCGATCCCAGTTAGCATGTCGTAACGTGCCAATCTAATCCAATTTTTATGCCGGAACATGGCAACTGATCCCAGTTAGCATGCCAAAATGTGGCAATTCGATACCAATCACACATCACAATAACACATCAAGATCACACATTTAAGTCATGGTTTTAATTTGAACATCTTTGATCAATATTTCAACATGCATATATATATATACAAATATCACAATGAAGAGAGAATATGTATATATCACACAATTATCATAGAATCAAATTCATCACCTACCTCAAATCCAAGCTTGAATCCATCAAGGCACTTGAATCTTTCCTTTCCAGATTCTTTCCGCTTCTTCTAGGTCTACAACAAGTTGTTATATGCAAGGATCAACAATCAAAGGTCTAATTATTCGGATGACATAAACCAAATAATCCTAGACAAAACTCAAGATCATAATACCCAAAAAAAATTTCCGCCATAATTCTTAGATCAAAACCCTTCGTCATTGATAATAACCCAAGGAAATAGGTTCGACAAATCAAAAAATAGATTCGGGGAGTTAAAACCCTACCTTTAGTCTAAAAATGGTGAAACTTGTTAAGAACTCATCTAGGGTCGCCTCCTTAGTCCTAAAAGTCAAAAGTACCAAATAAGGTCGTCTTAGGGTTTATAAGCGACTTTAAAACGTGACTATCCCGTTTTAACAAACCCACCTCGCTGCAGCGCCGCTCTAGAGGCCAAAATCCTGCTTAGCAGCCCTGACGGAGGCAGAATGTATCCCTTCACGAAAACATTATTTTAGGTAACTTTGTCTGCTCACACTTAGCATGAAGGCCTTTTCACAATTATGTGTTGTTGCAAGCATGTCTAATCAAAATTTAGAGGCCAAATTGAAATCTACCATGCTAAAATGACCTTCTTGTTTGTCTTGTTTGTTTGACTTGGTGTCTAGGAGGGCCTTATATTTTATTTTGTCTAAACCCACCCTTTAAGAGTCCAATGCCTCTTGGACAATCAAGTTGGGTCGATTAGGCACCTTTTAGGTACGAAATGCATGTGGTGGTAGGGTAGGGGTAGTTGGCCCTATGGAGATGATGACATCGACTTAGGCTTGAAAGACAAACCTTGGTTTTGTCTGTCCCTATACGGCAGCCTATCGAAAAATAAAAAGAAAAGTCGAGTGTTGATCCAAAAAGTCTCTTAGAGTCTCCCTTCCCTTTATCCCTTTATTTGTTTTGCTTAATTATATTTATTCTTTGGGGTTGAAATAAATTTGTTTGCTTATTTATTTGCCTCATTTCTATCCCCTCGCTTATCTTTAAATTTTTATTTAATGTTCATTTATTGTTATCACTTAGTTTTGCATGCTTAAATAATTAATTAAAAATAATAAATTTATTTTTCAATTGTTTAATATTTTATCACCTAGACTCGCATATTTAAATATTAATTAAAATAATAATATAAGCTATTTGTTCAATTTGTTTATCACATAGTCTCGTATGTTAAAATAAATAAAAATAAACTTGATTTTTTATTTATTGCTATCACCTAGTCTTGCATGTTTAAATTAATTAAAATAATAAAACGGTCTTATTTGTTTCATATTTCTTATCACCTAGCAAGCATGCTACTTAAATAAACTAATAAATGAAGTGACCATAATTGCTACTTGTAGTCCCACATAGAGTACATGAGATACGGCCGGGACCCACATTTATGGACCTTGAGGGATGCTTAACACCTTCCCCTCGAGGTAATTTGAACCCTTACCCTGATCTTTGACTCGTTGACCTTAGCTAGACTTAGTTAGGTTAGACAGGTGACCTAACGCGCGTTAATTCATTAGGTGACGACCCCAAACTCAAAATCTCAAAAGAGTTGTTAGGTCGTGCACAAAATCCATTTTTGCAAAAAATGGGGTGCGACAACCGTATTCGTGATCTTATTAAGAAATTAAAATTAATTTGTTAAAATGGTTTTATTATCTCTAGGTAATTTATTAATCACAGATGAATATGCTTTTAATAAAAGATTACAATAAAAGTATTATATAAACGAAAAGAAAAAAACATCCTACGATAAAAAAAATAGGAAGAAAACTTTTTTTTCTGTATTTATGGACAAGATAATATGTTGCTAAGATTGTGAGATGATAATAATTTTAATACTTGATATGTAATGTATTTATTAACTAAATCATGGTTAGAGGTTTACTTTGAAAAATTAAATCTTAAAAATTTATTTTAACCTATAATACGTGTCATTAACCTAAATAAGAACTTGGAGAAAATGGAGAATTCCTGCATTTTCCCCATGCTTTGTGTAGGATGAATTTTACTTTTTTATGCATTTATCATTTGTTTTCTCTTAAGGTTAAACAACTCAAACTGTTATAATTAGTTATCATTGATGGGTAACGCTAAATGATTAAAAATTTTAAAAATGTATAATATTTTTTTATTTTAAAAACTAGTCTTTTTTTTCTTTTTTAAATTAAAAAATATTAAAATTAAAAATATAAAAATATTCAAAAAGATAAAATAACATCGATAAAATACTTGTCAAACAATTTTTCCTTTTGACAAAAGTATCCCACCTAAGGAGATCTTTTGCCTAATATTTTTTAGATACCATTACAAAGTCATAATACACACATGTCAGTTGTCACAATAATATGCAATTGTCTTTGAGGGATTTGATTTCGTAGGCTATTATAAATGTTATTTTAGTTATATAACAAATGAAAAAGGGTCAAAAATACCCTTGAACTATTCGAAATAGCTCACATATACTTTTGAAATATATTTCGGTTCAAATATACCCTTCCCCTCAAACTATAGGATCAAAAATACCCTTCTCATTAACAGGATCTGTTAAACGCCACTTGGATGCCATGTAAATACCACATGGCATGCCACATAAGCCAATAGAGTTCCACTCATGCCACGTAGAAAATAAACTTACCCCTAATTTCCCTCAATTTTCTCTATTTTCCTTAGAATTTAGAAACGATTTCACTGAAGAACATAAAACCTCTTTCCCTTAGAACTTATGTATTTTGTGAAATCGTTCTAAGGAAATGGAGAAATGAGGAAAAGGGGTTCTATCTTCTTTAGTGAAATCGTTTCTAAATTCTACGGAAAAATGGAGAAGATTGAGAAAAATTAGGGGTAAGTTTATTAGTCTGCGTGACATGAGTGGAACTCTATTGACTTATGTGACATGCCATGTGACATCCACATGGCATCTAAGTGGCGTTTAACCGATTCTGTTAATGAGAAGGGGTATTTTTGACCTTATAGTTCGAGGGTAAGGGTATATTTGAGCCGAAATATACTTCAAGAGTATATTTGAGCTATTTCTGATAGTTCAAGGGTATTTTGAACCCTTTTTCGTATGACATATATATATATATATATATATATATATAAAAAAAATTTAAGAGAGATGCTCCTCCATATGCAATATTTGGAAAACATCTTTTCAACGAGAACAACAAAAAAAACCAATGAAAAACAATTTCTTTAAAAATGTGAATATAACTTGCCCTAGGGAAAACAAATTCCTTAAGTGTCTCTCCTCCTCACCCACACAACACCCCTAACCCATCTCTTGACCATTCCCACCCCCCACCCCTGCAACCTCCTGAACCCCCTTCCACCCTATAGTGTTTTGCTAGGTTACATATAAATGTTCTTAAAAAAGTATTTCTGTATTTAGTTACCAAGCATTACAAAATAAGTAAGAAATCTTACTATTTTCCAAGACAACATTTTCCTTCGTGCCAAACACACCCTTAACAAAGTTCAGAGCCACATCCTACAAGCCCTGTTATTTTTTCATTTCAGTGGAATTTACCAATAGATGTGATGCTTGTTCCTTTAAGCTAGCCAAGCTCAGCCTGTGAGTTCATGAATATGGCAACAAGCTAAATGAAGGCACATGAAAAATGACTCCACAATCACAAGTGAGAAGCAAGGTAAATTTATCAATTTTATTCACCTTTGTAGTTACTAATAAATGGAAGAAGAAGAGGAAATTAAAGCTCAAGGCTATGCACATCCAACTTTCAGTCATCAGTTCTCTTTGATAATTTACATTGGTTATACTTACAAAGAAGTATCTTTCAGTGGAAGCAAGTGTTAGTTGACATCAAAATTGATAAATTGGTCTGCGGTGTCTGGGCGAGGATGATGAAGCAGTGGCGGAGATAGGGTACTCACCATATTTTGTTGCTGTTTCCGGTGCATTCTCAAAATCTACACATTTTCCATTATTTTCAACTGTTGGGAACCCAAGCTTGGATTTCAAATTAGACCATTCATTTAACACGTCAATTTTCTGGACCTCGTGGCTTATTGACTGCAACTGATTCCGAAGTGTTTGATTGTAATCAAACAAACGATCATATTTAAGACGGAATTCTTCAAAGTTTTTCTTTAATTCCAACACGATAGCTCCTTCAGCTTGAGCCTTATTAGCCTTCATCTGATAATCCATTTTCAGTTTCTTCATGTTAGCTGTCAATTCTGCAACCTTACCCTGTAAAACTCTACGATGATCCTCCATATGCAATTTCCTTTCCTGAAGCATTTTTCTTTCAGCCTTGATAATCTTCCTAACAGAGATGTTCTCCAATATTACAGGGTGCAATTTGTCCAACACCATCCATGCAAATAGTGAAAATCCTGCAAATCAGAGGTTTAGCATTAAAAGCAAAGGGATTTGCAGAACGTGTTCGAGTATATTCATATGCACAACCTAGCTAAATGTTACTTCAATTGGCTATTGGAAAACTCCAGCTTCAGTTTTAGGTACTACATCCGTTAGTCAGTTTCAATTTCAATTTGTTTGCCTGGTTTTGACTCGGCACAAAGTTTAAGGAAGTAAAGAAATTTTTGAATCTTATAGTCTTAAGCAAAAGATACGTAGAATGAATCAAAATGTCCTTTAATCTGGTAGTCTTAAACATGACATGCAGTAATTTGAAATTAAAGAGTTGCTGAAATGGGAAAGGGGCATTCTTTTTTAAAAGAACTGAAAAGAAAAGTAAGACAAACAAATTGAAACAAACTAGAGTAATAATTTTTGGAGGGACGGAGCACTTACCCTACTTGCTTGGTTAATCAAGAGATCTTCAGCAATTAGTGAGTCAATGTTATTAGACTGAACAATGAGAATCACATTCACTACTGGTGGATACGCGGGAAGCCATGTATAAGCCTCAAAGTTAATTAAGTAACGCATCCCAATACAAAAGGATTCAACATGCTTTCATAAAAATAACCTTTCTTGGACTTGTTAAAGATATCTGGGGGTCAGGTGAATTAACAAAGAACATATAAATGGCATCAGTTGTGGTTAGCTGTGGAGGCCAAATGCAGAAGAGTTACAATCAGCAGTTAAAGTAGATATATGCTAACCTAATGTAACTCTAAATTTATCCAGGTTTGGGACTAACTTTGCTATGGTGAAGCTCAGATAGACAAAGTTGACAGTTAGTGTTGACTGAACTATATATGTTAAAGTTGTTTCTAATCAAAAGCAAATCTAAATTCCTCTTTGAAGCATTTCGTATCTGAATTAACTTGGTAGGGGCAAGGTCTGCATACACTTTACCCTCCCCCTCCCCAGACCGCACTTTGTGAGATTACACAGGGTATGTTGTTGTTGTTGTAGTATATCCTGAATCTTTCCAAAGCAATTCATCATCATGGCGTTGCCTTCTGAAAGTAATATTCTAGTTATTGTTTTGTCTAAGCTGCTTCTCTATGGATTTTGTATCAAAATTCAACAGCAAAACTGAACAAAGCAGGAAAATCTTCTTTTAGAGAACTGCTGCTACTCCATTTGTCTAGCCAGAAGAGTGTGTTTTCCCGGTTGCCAACTTGAATAGACACCTTAGTAGTAAACTCTTGCCATAATTTGCTAATATGATTCCATGGACCAACACCGTGTGATGATCTGTCGACCTTGTTATGCCAATTTATGTTCCCTTCGTGCTTAGTTCTCACCACCTTCTTGAGAAAGCCTCGTCCTTTCTCCTTGGGAACTTTAGCCCATTTCACCAAATGAAACTTCGGTTGTGTGCTATTCCCTAATAACCTTCTTATATTGTTTAATTGCTTGAGAACCTTACCTAGGATTGGAAACAAGGTCGTGAAATAGGTTGGAATGCTATCAAACAAACTATTCATCAAAATTAGAAAGGAATTCTGACTGTCACGTGACCAACCTTTTTTCAAACTTCTCAATCATTCATTGACATACTTGATTGCTTTTATATTTAGCTCCTAAGGTAGTGGGAAGAGTGCCTATGTCGCATCCAAGTACCTCTCTGCCAACTCCTGCATGACGTGCACTGTATTAACTGGAAATTGACTAATTCTCTTCAAGTTAATGAGCAGGCCCGAGAGTATTTCAAACACAATAAGCAACATCTTCAGATGTCTCAGTTGGCCAGTTTTTGAGTTTCACAAAAAAACTGTGTATCATCAGCAAACAAGTGATGAGAAACTGAAATTTCTTCTCCTATTTTGGACCCTACTGTGAATCCCTTACCCATTGGTTCTGGACTGCTTTTTATGTCATGCTATGAAAAGCTTCTGTGACAGAAATGGAAAGAAAAGAAGCACATGGTTACCTTGTGACAACTCTCTTTGAGATGGAAAGGATCCCACAGCTTCAACATTTACCAAAATGGAATGACACAAAACTTAATCCATTTAAGCCATTTTTCTTTACAACCCATTTGCTGCAAGATATTGAATAGAAATCACCAACAATCATTATCCCTTCTCCACATCAAGTTCACATAGAATTTCTGGTTCCCCTTATTTCATTCTCCAGTTCAGTACCTCATTTGCAATACGAGAAGCATCTATAATCTTCCTTCCTCTTAAGAAAGCATCTTGTTTATCAGAAACAAAATTTCTAAACCTTTCTGCCAGCAGCTTAGATATAATGGGCCAATAACTTTTTAGATCGTCCGCACCCTTCTTATTAGGCACTACAATAAAGGAGGCACTGCAAGCTCTTGCAAAGCTGCAGGTCTGCTGGAAGCATTCTGCTGGGCCTAGCATCCTTGGCTAAGCTGACTGTAATCAGCATTCTGATTCAGGTCTCAATTTTTGCTAACATCTCCCATTTCTCTTATCTAACGTTCCATAATTCTCCTTATTCCATTCCTTATTTCTCCGCCTAACCTTTTTACCGTCTCCATGAGTAACTAATAAGGACGGCAAGTAACATCATAGTTCCCCACTATTCTTTTAAGGGAAAAGGGTCTGATATACCCCTCAACTTTGTCATTTGGAGCTGATATACCCCTTGTTATAAAAGTGGCTCATATATGCTCTTACCGTTATACAAACGGTACACATATACCCCTGCCGTTACAAAATGGCTCACATATACCCTTCATTTAACGGAAGTTAAAAAATTAGTTTTATATTTATATTTGTTACTTCTAAATTTTTTTAAAAAATTATTTAGGGGTATATATGATTCTTCTATCAAAGTTCAAGGTATATTTAACTTTTTTTCATACATAAATTATTTTTTGACTTCTTTAATTATAATTATTTGAGTATCTTATTCTTATTTTGTTTTTTTCTTTCATTCCTTAGTTTAAAGAAAAAAAAATTAACTATTTTTTTTGTGTGTATTGTAATTTAATTTCGTCTTTGAAGAAAAAATTTGGTCATTTACAATAAGTTTTACAAGAATATTAGTGAAACATAAATGAATTTGATTATCAAAATAATAATTATAAATTAGTCATTGAAACAAAAAAAAGTCAAAAAAATATGTTTGACGAGGATTAAATTTACTCATATGGGATTATATTTTTTAGAAAAAAATAATAAAAATTTAGATTAAAATTATTATTTTTTCATTTCCGTTAGAGGAAAAGGGTATATGTGAGTCATTTGTTTACAAATAGGAGTATATATATGTCACTTTTATAACGAGGGGTATATCAGCTCTAAATGACAAAGTTGAGGGTATATCAGACCCTTTTCCCTTCTTTTAATTTCTCCATGAAGTCTTCAACCTAAAACCACATGTTCTCAAATTTGAAGTAACCCATTCTTTATATTCTAGCATCACTGGTTTAATCTGAGAGCATTATGATGTAATAGATTATTTGATATCTTTTAAAGGTCTCATCCCATTCAACTGATATCGAGAACCTATCATTCCTTGACGTTTCTGATCATATTTCTTCATTTGTATTCATTTCAGGCCAATATAATCCGGTAAAAATAAAACAGGATAATAAGTTTCCTATATATCTTACTAGCATAAAAATCTTTTGAGGGATAAACAAATCATAGAAAGCATAGGACCTAAAGTAAATGTACTAACATGAATAAATTAGTTTTTTCAACTAATTAGTATTTCTTCTAAATATTTTCTTTTCTTTTTTCGCCTCAACTTGCAAGGTTTGCATGAATTCCAAGAAATTGTAGGTCTTTTGAGATAACTTCCTTTCATGTGATCTTAGGTCAGTCTCCATCTTTTTAACACTTACACAAACCATTTTTTCACACCCACAGACTGGAAAATCTAAAGGTCCACACAAGGACATGTTTAAACTATCTCATATGATCTACTTCTTATTTTTTACTCCATATATGCTTCTTGCACCTTCAGGAAGTGTGGTCATTTTTTGTCTTATCTAACAAGTATGACTGCATATCCATCTTAGCATCTAAATTTCTGTGAAACTCATTTTGCGGATGTGTTGGACTTTAGTATCCCAGCATTTATTATCATATCACATTGTTGGTCTTATAATTGTTCTATAGAACTTACTTTTCCTTCTAACAGATAATACCCCACTAACACTTCTCTATTTCAACCATCCTTTTAACTATTCCATTCAAGCTACTCCTACCAGAATTTAAAATCAAGGTTCCTCAAGCCATAGCCATGCCAATCAGTCAAATATATCTTTTTTTCGGTTTCAACCCGCACTGTGGCCCAAGTAAATCTGAATTCACAGCAAAAACTCCCACATTAAGGGACACAGTGCTCCCTAACAAAGGTGACCCCATAGCGAATGGGACTAGAACCCAATACCTCTGATTAAGGATGAACGGGTACTTGTCGTATCTCATTCCCAAACAAGTTGGAGTTGGCTACATAAACTGTCTATACTAGTTCCTCTCTATTATTGCATTCTAATACTAAAAAAACACAGTACTTTAGAAAGAGAAAAAAAAAATCTAGGGGCTATGTAAAACTAAAGCAGTTCTCTAAAATTACACTATTCAGTTACAGGTACTCCACATATAGATTCCAAAAGTTGTAAATCAAAATTGACTATAAAGCAGTACATTCAACAAGGATTCTGTTTTCAGTATATAGAAAAAAAGAAAAAACAAGAAAAGGAGCATTACCCATGAGAGAAGATTGTAGAATTAGTAAATTGAGAGTAACCCCATCACTCCAATTGATGGGTCCATGAAACATCCTCCAGCTACATAAAATGGAGATACTTGTGTATACCCAATACACGAAAATGGCGAACATCAATATCCGTATCCATACAAACAAAGTGCTGTTTCTGCGAGACAAAGCCAGAAGAATTGGTTCTTGAAATTGGGTGTTGAAACAAATCCCCAAGTATACAAGTATTTCGCCCAATACAAGGGAGATAAGTATGCATAGTATAAGGTACGTGGCCAACATCGTTTGTTCAACTAAGCTAAGCTCCCATGGCGTTTATTTATTCAAATAGACAATTTGTCATCTAAAGCCCCTTTCCTCTCTTCTTTTTTGTTCTTTCAGCTATTGCAAGGTGTTTGTTTAAGAAAAAAACACATCTAAAGTTAGGACATAATTTTTTTATTTAGATTTTTCAACTAAGATAAGTTTTACTCGAAAATTTAAGACATAATACATATATTAGATCCTAAACTTAGCTTCAAATTTTGACTTTGATCTTCAACTTTCATAATACACAAACAGACACTTTAACTATCCAACTTTTAAATAAATAAACGCATGACTCCTCCATGGCACAAAACACGTAAGACAAAAAAAATAACATATAGGATGACATGTAGGACATGTTTGCCTATTTGTTCAACTTTATAGAAGTTTAAGTGTCTATTTGTGCACATCCAAAGTTAAAGGACATAATGTAATTTGAAGCCAAGTTAAAGGATAAATTTATAAATTATGTCAAAATTTAATGTATTTGAAAAAAATTGTCATATTATATTTACTACTATTTTGACAATCAAAGGAAAAGATTAAAAAAATAAAAAGAGTAGTGTACTCTGTATTGTTGTTACAAAATAATAAATTAACGGATTAGGCATAATACATAAATATGTCCTTTAACTTGGATTCAAATCACATTTATATCCTTTAACTTTTGGTGTGCATAAGTAAACAATTAAACTTGTATAAAATTGAACAAGTAGACACATGTGTCCTACATGTCATTCCACATGTCATTTTTTGTCATACATGGTGTCCTACGTGTATTTTGTCATATAGAACTCATGTGTTTATTTATTTAAAAGTTGGATAGTTAAAGTATCTGTTCGTGCATTATGAAAGTTGGAGGTCAAAGTTAAAATTTGAAGCCAAGTTTAAGGTCCAATATATATTTCGAGATCTTCGAACATATTCAAGGGTTCTATGTTACTATTGTAACTTCGGCCAACACACAAGATGAGATTTTACCACCGTGGAGCGGCTTTTTGCAAAAAGATGAGGGAAAAATTCATTAAATTATGTATTACGCCTAAAATCTAATATGTGATATCTGATGTATTTTTCATATCCTCAATAACTTGAAGTATGAAATTTTTTAAAAAATAAGTTTATTCTTAATAGTTTAACTCATTAATTATTTATATTTAGTATGGAAAGAACTTGTAAGAATTTACATTTTTTCATACCGTATATTCAAAAGAGGAGTGACGGGCAAGGCAAAACAGATTGTAAACAACAAATTATGTTATATGGGATAGGTTAAAGTCTTCGAATTATGCAGTTCACTCCACAACACACTCGTCATCCTTGAGCTTGGACCAAGATAAAATATTTTGGACTCGTTTGGTTTGTATATAAGTTATGGTATGGTTATGATAGGATAAGTTACATTGAGATTATTTCTTATTGAGTTTTTTCTTTGATTGTATTCAAGATAATATGGTTTGAATGAATTTTGAAAACAAGCTATTTATTTACAAACATACCATTCATGAATGTAAAATATGAGTTATAGTAAAATGTTTAAACGGATATCTTTTTCATTTATTTCAAAACAATTTATCCTGAAATTACTATACCATCCCATGAGAGAAATAATTTGTCTCAATACTAATTATTAATTCCGAGATAAATTATTTCAGAATGTGCCAACCAAACAAATGAATGGCACTATAACTTAATCTCAAAACTATTTGATGTTATCCTTCCCCAAAACGATCCAAGAATAAGAGTTTAAGGTAAGTAGGAGAAAGTGGGCATATATGCATTCTATGTTTACTCGACAAAAAAAAAAAGAATGTAAGTAATGTAAGATTATGTGAGATTGTTTTGCCTATACGTAAATAGTTCAATGATATAAGCTCCATCCATAATTGGAATAGTATGTGATACATGGAGATGTAAAACAAAAGATCAAAACAAGACAATTGAAATGAAAAATGATACTGAACTACTATGTAATAACTAGTAGTATATGATAGTTATAAGACTAACAATATTATATTTATTTATATATAAAGTAAATGTTGGAACAATATTTGAAAATTCCAACATATGATGATAAAGTTAAGGTTAGTAAAACCAACAGAAGAGGATTGACTTTGCTACTTTGCAAAAACAATACTAGGGATAAGATTCAAGCAAGAAACTAAACAAAGATCAAATGATCTTTCTTGCTGAACCAAGTTACAGAACATAATCTAATTTAGGTTACAAACAAGAACTTCAAATCTGCCTCTGTTAGTTTCCCCAAGGCCTCAGAAGAGCCACCAACCGTCCTGAACAAAACATCAATATTGGACAATCAACACATCATAGAGAGAACAGAGGAGTGTCAGAGTAAAATCGGAAGCCAAGTATAACACGGTATAGGGCAATAATCTGTCCAAACGAAATTTGAAGGGAGAAGCATTTATCATTTCGACTTATATGAACGAGAAAGAGCTCTCTCCATGTTCCAATTTTAAAAAAGAAGATAAAAAAGAGTGTATGGCCCTACTCCAATCCTTAGCTCAACTGTCTTAATGATTTATTTGTCAACTTCTGACAACAATATCTAAGTCTCTGACCATAACGCTCCATTTAAAACTCATCTCAGCCCAATGTTATATCTTATTGAGAGCACAAAATTATCTCGATTCTCTTAATTTATCTTGGAATAATTTCTGAAGAAAACGCATAAAAATTACTCAAAAGTTTCAAGTCATCAAATTAATTTCTTTGACTAACCATGCTACTAGAACAATGAAGTTGGAGAAACTCACCCTTCAAATACTAGCTCCTTTTTCTCTTGCAACTTTAAGATCCTCTCTTCGATTGTATTCTCAATCACAAATCTCACAATCCTAGAAATGAGAAAACGACAATTAGCTCCCTTCATTGGTATAGCTGGTTAAAGAAATACAAACACACACCTGATTGGTTTATACTGCCCTATTCGATGGATTCTATCTTGGGCTTGCCGCTCCACAGCAGGATTCCACCAAGGATCCATCAAGAAAACCTAGTAAAGTGCAAGAGGAGAGCAACACGTCAAGGAAAGTAATCCTGGTCATTCAACGAAAACTTGCACGTCCCAAAAAACATTTGTTCTTTAGGTGCACAGCAAAGGAAGTTAAAATATCCCAAACAAAATAAATATTTGGAACCTGAAGAGAAGGAGGAATCCAACAATAGATTCAAACCACAAAGTATTTGACAAGATATGAAGAATATGCATTGACAGAGAAGGGAAAGAAAAACTTTACTTGTGATGCCACTGTAAGATTGAGGGCAACACCTCCAGCTTTCAAGCTCATAAGGAATATCCTGCAATCTGGATCCTCGGTGAATCTTGTAATTGCAGAATCTCTGGCAGTCATAGACATGGATCCATCTAATTGAACACAACTGACGCCCGACTGCCAAATGCACACAAGACATGTTTTTGGTTGTAACTACTGATGGCAACAAGAGGGACATGTGTGGAAGGGAATAAAGAAAACATAGATTACCTTCTGTAGAGAATAGTGTATCAGATCCAAAAATGATGTGAATTGACTGAAGACTATTGCTTTCGCAGAACCATCTATTTCAATCATGAACCTTATTTCTTCTCTCTAGAACCAATAAAACAATCAGCAATGAGAACAAAGCATAGTGGTTATTCTTACCATAACAGAGATACAATAGATATTCACAAAAAAGGCATTAGAAGAGTTCAAGCAATAATGTCAAAGGATATAAATAAGATTGAGACCAGAACAAGAACTTATTAATCCTCAATTAGTTTCCCCTAAAAGTGGGGGCGTTCTTGATGCAACATTTCCAATGGTAAGCAAACTCAATTAGTTTCTACTCAAAGTGGGGGTGGTATTTGATGCAACATTTCCAATGGTAAGCAAAACTTCAATTAGAACATGTATTACCCATTTTGCTCACAACCAAATTTGACAATTATAAATTATCCTAGGTGCATATCAAGCAAATTCACCAAGGTACAACATCCAGAAAGACTGAATGCGTAACATCTTGATCCTATGTCTGCTAAGTTAGATGGTATGGGAGCCTTAGGAAACATATCTAATTCCTGCAAATGATGCAATATTGCAGCCTCTTGCACTCTTAGTGAGAGGAAAATAATAAAATAAAGAAACATATAAAGACGAGATAAGATATATTCATTGATTGGTAAGTAATTGGATACCAAAGCCTCTATTTTTGTGCTTGTCTGGAAATTATCAAGATGAATTCTGTTCAGTATACTTGAGGACCTAAACCCTTTGATAGTAGCTTTAGATTTCTGATCCCCCTTATCATTTGCCGTGAAATCCACTGTAAGTGGTTCAGAACATGAAGGGCATGAAACTTGTCCCACACTTGCAGAAAAATCTATTAGACATGACTTGCAAAAGATATGTGTGCAAGAGGTAACCTGCAACAATCAAATGAGGTGCACATTTTATAAGAGAGTTGGTTCAAACTTCAAACAACAGAACAATGTAAAAGAATTCATAGCATCTTTTCTTAGATTGTCAAAAAATGAGGTACATGAATTTAAATTATGAAGTCCACAAGTTTTATGAAAGTCCTTTTAGGTGTTTAAAGGCATTTCTAAAAGCATTTCTAGTTAAATATTAAGGTCTACCATATGGTGCTGGAGAAGAATTTGTAGAAGTTCAGGCTCTAAAAGAAGGCTTAAGAAGCTATTGTGTAGCTTTTGAAAAGACATTGTACATGTAAAAGCAGAGAAATAAGGCCACATTAAGATTTGAAATATCCATCATACAATACATGCAATATTAATGTAGTACAAGTAGGAACTCCGTCGAATTCAACTTTAAAGAATTATCAAGTTTCCTAGTGACCCTTGCTTCTTTCTTTTTTTTCTTTCTTTACTACTTTTTATTTCTTTTCTCAGGGAAGGGAGAGAGGATGCAACTCACAACGGGATCTTCTACTGGATCATGACATAAACCACATAGTTGTTCAACAGAGCCGGCATCATTTGTGCTTCCTCTTCTAGCCAAAGCAGTACTTGAGTATACCACAAGGTAAGGATGATCAACTGCCTGCGGTCAGATAAAAAAATAAAATAAAGAAAAAATAA